AGGTTGTTCGATCCCCAAATAGGTCGTGACCCACCGGTTGAGAACTGCTGGGCTAGGCAGTCAGGAAAGTTCCCGCAGGAGGTAGCGAAGGGAAGTGTGGAAATTTAGCCAGGCCTGGTTGCAGTCGTTGGCAGGTGCTGGTGAGTCCGTGTGCAGCTTCTGCGTGAGCACAGTGAAGTGTGGTCTACAGTCTACCACCACAAAGTCATTAGGAATTAGTTTCACAAAAAAAAGGTGGAAAGGGTGTTGGGACAAAAGGAACACCAGGAGGATTTGTAGTTCGTTAAAGCCATTTGGAGCTTACATCAGGCAACATGCAAATATTAGTTTACATCAACTCTTGCTTTGCAGTGTTGGGACACAGTCTCTCTTGCTGCATTTAAAGCTATTTTGTCATTGCCTGTCTCCCCATAGGAGGGAGAGCTTGAGAACTCCCTCACCCACGAATTGATTCTAACTGATAGCGACCCTATAGGACCAGGTAGACCTGCTTCTGTGGGTTTCTGAAGCTGTTCATATTTCCAGGAGCAGAAAGCCTCATCTTTCTCCCAAAGGGAGGACGGTGGGTTTGAACTTCTGACCTGGATGTGTAACCCATTACACTGCCAGGGCTCCTTTTTTGAGAACAGCTTCTGTTGTGTGTGGGAAACAGAACTGGGACGAGAGTGTGTGAGGAGGATAAACTATCAATGTTCATATGTTAAGGAGTCTGGGAGGCCAGGGCTCCCGTGGAGGGAAACCTTCATGTTAGTAGGTTAGAGATGCGTCCCACTCTCCCCTTCTCCTAAGTAACGTTCATTCCCTTCAATGTCCCCCCATAATAATGCCAAATATAAGATGCTGTTGGCAAGCACCTGGTCACTGACTGCTCTTGAAGGTCAATTCCTTGAAGACTGTCTGTCATCAAAAGCCATCAGACCGTATTGTCTGTCCCACCCTAAGCAGGGGCCACTTCCTTCTGATAAGAATAATGGATTGTCCCCTGGAGAAGAGCTCAAAGGTGCAGCCAGCTCAGAGGCGGTCAAGGTTAGGCTGGCGTCTTGATTCTAAAGCTGCCCATCTTGTTACGGATGGGTCTCCTGTCACGTGTGTGTCTCCAGTGCCCCCCTTCCTATTGTGTGTGTACCCCGAGCTCGTCCCCTCCTGTTGTGTATATATATGCCTTCCCATCACTGTGTGCTCACCGGGGCTTGCATGCCTGAGATTACATCCGTCTGTGAGTCCGTCAAGTACGGTCTCCTGGTTCCGGTCATCATGGAGAGGGGAGCCCTCGCTCTATCTTGTCTGATCTCTCTTTAATTTACCCCTCCGTTACACAAGCGCCCCTTGGACCTATTTGGTTGTGGGGAGGCTGGGCCCCCACAGGTGTGTTCATCATTATGTCTCGCGTGGTACCTGAGTCCACATGAAGCAATGGTGTCCGGATTGCTGGCCTCGGTCGGAGTCTCCAAGGGTGCTGCCCATGCCCTTGGGTTCCCCGTTGCCTCAGCTCCTCCCTGTGGGATCCAGCCCCACCATCAAATGAGTCCTTAGGAGCGGCCTGTGTGATTACGGAAGACAAGGATGATAGACAGCCGGGCACAGGGCTGCTGTTGGAATCAAGAGAGCTAATGTGTTTTTCAATGGGTTGATATAACCACGAGGCTCGCAAGCCACCAGCAGGCACACACATAATGGAGTGGACAGGTAATAGAGTGAGTCAGCGGCTTAACCTTGTCTGGCCCTGAGCTCTCCCCAGGGGTACCATCTATGATCAGCATCTGAAGACATCAGAAGGGAGTCGGCAGCACTTTGGATGGGGCCGACAAGAGAATCTGATTGCTGTGCCAGTCAGGTGGCCTCCAGGTGCACAGTGAGAAGCCAGTGCAAGTATGAGACCTCCTTTATGGTAGCACCTTTGTGGAGGGCTATCTGGGGGTGTTTTTCAGTCTGGAGAAAGTGTATTTGACAGCATCTCTAGCTCAGAACTGTGGAGCTCTTTCTGTAACTAGAGCCGGTCTTCCAAACTCTGTGGTTTATGAGCACGCAGGTGCTCAATATTCCACACCTTCCCATTTCCTACCTCACTCATCTCCACCAGCATCTAGGCCAGTGGTTCTCCACCTTCCTCACGCCCTTTCATACAGGTTCTCATGTTGTGGTGACCCCCCAACCATAACATTATTTTCACTGCTCTCTTCATCACTGTCATTTTGCTACTGTTATGAATCATAATGTAAATATCTGATATGCAGGATGTATTTCCATTGTTACAAATTGAGCATAATTAAAGCATTGTGATTCATCACAAAACAATATGTAATTATACATTATGAAATGTTTATGTCTAATGACAAATAAATGAAATTTTATCTTGAAGCCTGGTGTAGCATGGGTGACAGTCTTCACATCGGGTGCTCATAGGTGGTTGTCTCTGCATGTGGGTGGATCCACCTGGAGACGGATAGAGGAGCCGTGTCTTGGTTCCTAAGACCATCAGAAATATGTTTTCCAATGGTCTTAGGCAACCCCTGTGAAAGGGTTGTTCGACCCCCAAAGGGGCTGTGACCCACAGGTTGAGAGCCACTGATCTAGGCCTTCAGACAGGCCATTCTGTCTTAAAGGTAGCACCTCACACTTGTGGGACCCTTTACTGCTCACGAGGCTATTTCTGCACCTACTGTCCGGTGCGCCCCGGGATCAGGCATTCTCTAGCACAGGGAGTTTGATGGACTAGTGCTTGCATTCCACAGGGGCACTGCTCTGGGGAGCACCTGAGCAAGTGACCTTGGGGGGCAGGGTATCAGGGCATATGGGAATTTGCAGGTGATGACAGGGCCTGGGGTGCATTCCTTGGGCAGATTCTGAGGAAGAGAGGAGGAAAAAGCCTGTGGACATCTGGGGCCAGCAACTGAGTGGGGGAGGAGATGGCTGGGCTGGTCCTGGGGAGAGTAACGTCACTGAGAATGACGACAGGGACAGGATGGCAAAGAAGACTAGGTAGGAATCAGTGGCTAAGACTTCCGGGAGAGAAGCCGCTGGGGGTGCTGTGAGCAGGGGACAGGGTAGCTCAGGCAGGAGGTCTGAACCTCCAGAGTTACAGTTCTTGAGAGGTAGGGGCTGAAATGGGAGGGGAGGACCCGTCTGGGCTTTAGTGTGAGGGCTGGGGGTGGGGAGGGAGGAATCGAGCGGGCAGGGGGGAACATGGCGGCTCAGAGGAGGCAGGGAACTGAAGGGCTGGGGGAAGGTTTCTGAGTCCTGATTGGGACTTCCAGGGAAGTGTGATTCCCAGATGTAGATGGGAGAGAAAGAGGGTTTGTGGTTTGGGTCAGGTCAGGAATGAGACTGCGGGGGTGGGGTGGGGGTGGTTAACAGGTGGCCTTGGACTTTTTCCTAGTGCCCTATGCGTGCAAGCAGGGATGTGGCAATGGAGTTAATGTGTTTTAGTCTCTGCTGGCAGAGCAAGGGAGTTCCAAGTCGGTGCTGCGTGAAGAAGGCTCGCTGGAAAATCGGATCCCGCGATGAAATACCAGTTGCCTCTGATTCTGACTCTTGGTGGAGCGAAGGGTGTTGGCACGGACTCGTGCTTTATAGGGGTTCACTTACTGGCTGGCTTTTCCAAAGTAGATCTCCAGGCTTTTCTTTCGAGGTGCCTCTCGGTAGACTCGGATATCAACCTCTACACCTTCTGGTTAGGAGCTGAGGGGCCACCCAGGGACTCCCTGGATTGACGGACAAACTGTAGACTCATAGGTGCAGAGAAGACAGATTCTCTTACATCCGATTACACATGCAAATGTACAGAGTGATTTGTCGTTCTTTCTTGGCTCAGAAACCCCAAGGCGCAGTTCTGCTCTGTCCTACAGGGTCGCTGTGTGTGGGAGTCGACTCCATGGCCCTGGGTTTGGGTTAGTCCTGTCTTGCAGCTCTGAGAGGTGGGCACCATCAACACAGGGACTTGCTAGAGGCCACGTTCCTGGGAAGTGTCAAAACGGAGATTAAAAGCCTTGCCACTTTATGCAGGCAATGCATACGGATTTGCTAAAACAAATCAGAAAACTCCAAAGCTCCCCAAATCCGTACTAGTTGCAGTCTACACTTGGCTGTTCTTAGCATCTTCTGGGCCATGGTTTTAACACTGAGGAAATGGTTTTTCCCAAAGGAGGTCTCCACACCTTCGGCTGCTCTCAGTTACATTGTAGCCAGTGGCAAGGAGGCAGTAATGGGTTGCACGCTTTGGGCAGGCTCAGACACACAGCAGCCCAGAGAGAGCCTGGGGCTAAAAGCATGCCCTTTGTACTCGGAGGGTGTCAGCTGCGGAGGGCTGCGACAGCACCAGGCGCTTAGGGAGGGACTGATGACCACCCTTTCATTCTGACTCCAGGCCCCTGGCCGGAGCTGGGCTCCGGATCACACTAGGTATTCTCAGCCTTCGAAGCTTCTTTTTAGCTCACGCGCATCATCTCACACGTTCTGCCTTCCGAAAACTGTTGTGGGGGAGGCTGAAGCTGGGAAAGAGTGAAACGGGGTTCGCTTTCCCCTCGGGCTTGAAGGATGGAAGCTCTTCGACTTCTCCACCTGGGAAACCTGTTTAACAACAAAACAGCAGGGTTCGGTGGGGCGCCCCCTCCAGCGTGACGCCACCAGACTCCACCCTCTGGTCCTGGAGCCGGCCCCTCTCCAGAAAGACCCATTTTCCCTTGGAGGGGGGGAGTAGTGCAGGTTTGCTTTAGCGCAGGCACTGTTACACACGAAGAAGCACAGTTTTGGAAACTCCTTTAATATGATGACGCTTCCATTCTTGAGTCGTGTCTGTTGGGTGCCGTGGAAGGGCAGGAGCGACGAGCGCCAGGAAACTCTAAGCGATGGTCACCCCTTCGGGGACAGTAGCTGCGTCCACCTCGCGCCGGTCCCTGGCCGCGGGGCGGGGCGGTGACGCGCGGCTGGGCGGGGCCGGAGCGTTCTAAGCGCGCGCCGGCGGGGGCGCGCGGGGGTCCGGGGCTCCCCGGGGAAGGGCCCCGGTTTCATTGGCTACTTAGTTTGCTTACACATCTAATAACGTGTGTCGGAACACGGGCGCTGGCCGCCAGTCCTCAAGCCCTGTGGAGGGGAGGGCGGCCCGCCTGGCCGGCCCTCCACGCAGTGGCCGCGTCCGTCTGGCGCCAGGTGGCCCGATCGCGGGGCGGGAGCAGAGGGCCGGCTGCCCGCGCTGGCCGGCGCGCGGCCCCATGGCCCCGCGGCTGGTGCTGCTCTTCAGTGGGAAGCGGAAATCCGGGAAGGACTACGTGACGGAGGCGCTGCAGAGCAGGTGGCCGTGGGCCGGGGAGGACGTGGAGGGGCGACGATGCCCGCGCCACGTGACCAGAGGGGCGTGTGCTTTGGGGCGGGAGGGGGCCGAGGAAGCCCCCGGTGGCGGGGCTGGGGGAGCGGGGTGCAACTGCCAGCACCCCTCGACGAGCCAAGGGGCCGCCCCTCGGAAGACCTGAACCTGTGGGTCTCGCCCTCCCGGGAACGTTCATGGTAGTTGTCACCCACACGCTTTCCTAAACCTCACCACAGCGTGGCTGTGACAGGTGAGCATTTACCGATGACCACGTGCCGAGAGCGACTAGTAGGGGCCAGCCACCGTTTATATAGGGTCTCGTTTAATGCTCTTCCTTTCTGTTAGTACCTCCACTGCAGAGGAGAAACTGAAGGGGCTGAGAGAGATGGAAGCAGTTTTTCTGGGCGTGCGCTGGGGAAGCAGAGGGGCTGTGGGGAGTGGAGTGGGGACTTCCTTGTGAAGGCCACTGTGGTGATTTGGGGCATGGCATAGGTGCTAAGAGTTTGTGGGAGAGCTTAGGGCAGAGGTTGCTACCCAAATATTTCAGCGCCAAGGGTCTCACCTCTTTCTTCCTAAACTGCCTCTCTCTTTACCCCCAAATAGGAATCAGTAGTGGTTAGAAGCGCAGGCTCTAGAATTAGACTGCTGGGATTCAAATACTACACCTCCGCTCTTTCTTGTGGAACCTTACACAAATGATCTACTCTGGGCTTCGGACTGTCACTTACGAAGCAGGAAGAATAACAGGTTGGCTGTAAGGATTAAATAATACACGGGAAGGGCTCACAGCAAGTCTTAGTATCCTAGGGGAAATGCAGGGAAGAAACATTGGCTTGTTATTTACTAATAACCAGGTGTACTGCTTACAGTGTTGCCTTGCATCAGTCAGTCCTTCTTACCCAACTTCTGTTTCCTCATCTGGAAAATGGAAATGAGAATGCCCATCAGGAGGCTTGTTAAACCCTGGGCTGCTAACCAAATGGTCAGCCGTTTGAAACCACCAGCCGCTCTGCAGGAGAAAGATGAGGGTTTCTACTCCTATGAGGAATTACAGTCACGGAAACCCACAGGGGCAGTAGGGTCACCATGAGTTGTAATCGATTCGGTGGCAGTGAGTTTTTTAAAATCACACGATGTTGGTGTTTAAATGCATCTGTGAGCATCTCAAGGGCACAGCAGGGGTCATCATGTGTCTTACTCACTTTTGCATCACTTGAGCCAGTTCCGCTACTGTTGATTGGTGTTAAGTCAGCTCCAGCTGATGGTGAACTTACTCATAACAGAAGATGTGGCCCTGTCTCCTGTCGTCCTATGCTTGAGTCCACGGTGGTGGCTATTATCTCAGTCTAGCTCACTGAGATACAGTCCTGGTGGCACAGTGGTTACGGACTGCTAACTACAAGGTCAGGAGTTCAAAACCACCAGCTGCTCCGTGGGAGAAAGATGAGGCTGGTGGCTTCCATAAAGATTTACAGCCTTGAAAATCCTATACAGAGTCGCTATGAGTTGGGATCAGTTCCGTGGTAATGGGCTAAATTTTGGAGTTGAGTTTCATCCTAATTCCTGTGAGGGAGACTAATCACAAATCGTTATCCCCGTTTGATAAACTCCCTCACTGCCATTCAGTCGCTGCCCACTCATAGCAAGCCTATAGGACAGGGGCGATCCGCCCCTGTGGGTTTCTGAGACTGTAACTCTTTACGGGAGTAGAAAGCCTTGTCTTTCTCCTGAGGAGCGAAGCTGAGACTGTTCACACGGCTGACCTTGCGGTGAGCAGCCTCATGCGTACCCGCTATGCAACCAGGGTCCGTTTGATAGAGGAGGCAATTGCCAACAGGGTCGCTGTGAGTCAGAATGGCCTCGGCAGTGACCTTGGCTTTGGCTTGAGCTCATTGAGGGGTCTCCATGCTTTTGCTGATCCTCGCCTTACAGGAGGTACTTACAGTAGGTACTTAAGTTGTCTTCATTTTCAGCAAACAAGCTTGTGTCGTCTGCATGTGGCAGGCAATCAGTGAGTCTCCCTCCAGTCCTGATGCCTGGCTCCTCCTCCTCATGCAGCCTCTCAGATGAGTTGCTCAGCATGCTCACGGGAGAGAGTGGAAGAGCACCAGCCGCTGCCCTCCTTTCCAGTCGGGGCCCTGCAGCGCCCTTGTTCAGTCAAACGACTGCCTCTTGAGCCGTGCACGGTTTCGGCACAAGCATAATTAAGATTCTTATTCTTTGCAACGTTATCAATAATTTATGATCCACATAGTCAAATACCTTAGTGCATTCGGTAAAATATCTTTCTGATATTCTCTGCTTTTTAAAAAAAATCATTTTATTGGGGCCTCTTAACAACTCTTTTTTTTTGAAAGATACATTTTAATTTATTGAGGTACAATTCACATAATATAAAATTACCCATTTTAAACATTTTGAAGTACTCAGTTTAGTAACACCCATAATGTACCACCATCACCGCTACCTAGTCCCAGCATATTCTTTCTTTTTTTTTT